TTAGGGTTTAGGGTTTAGGAGTCGGATCTTCAGGTACCGCTGTTTTGAAAAGACCCCCTACCTGACCTGTTTCGAGTCGGGCAGGCCATAATGCTGAACTTTATTGTCAGTAGTGCCACGAACTATGAATTATAATGCTGAAGCTAGTAGCAGCATTATCAAAACAATGCTAGCTAGTTGAAGTGAGTAGTATTATTATTATTGTAGTTGTTGGTGTTGTCATTTATTTGTTACCGGTGACATCAGCTTATCACCCTACCGTGGTTGCCATATTCCGTCAGTATTATCATTGCGGATTCTCTGGATGACGTGGTTGCAGCTATTATCGGGTTTTGCTAGCGATGATGCTTTGCCCCTTCCCTTCCCCCCTATCTGTTTCTCAAACTCTTCCACAATAGAGATTCAGAACTGGCGGCCCCCATAGATTAAGTTGACCTCCATGGTCAAAAAGATAGGTACCCGTTCGCGTGGATCCCAGATTCAGGAAACCCGCCGAGAAAGTGAGTCACGCACAAACCCTAAGCCCTTGAATGTCCGTTACCAGTTGTACGCAAGGTGGAGCCTTTCATCATCTCCTGTTCTAGAAGCCTTGTAACTCTCCACGTCACGTGAGGGTTTAGTTTAGGGCTTAGGCCCCATTTTCAGCGAAGCCACATTTGCAGCTCTTGAGTGGAGCTGCGAGGACGTCCCTTGCCACCCCTTGTTTTGGAAGATATTGTTCTAAACTCGTCCCGGATTTAGAAACTCAACCATAAACCCAAAGCAAGAAGCTGCGAGGACGTGAGGGAGATCTCCGAGAAAATCGATGCCTGGATGAAGGCGCACCCTCAGCCCTATACAAACCCCTATACCCCATAAGTCCATAAGCCCTACAACCCTATAACGCCTGCAAGACCTGTAATCCCTTAAACCCTTGGCCCTAGGAACCCTTTTGCCACCAAAAGCCACGTAAACTCTAAACCCTAACTAAGCCAAAAAGACGGGGGAAAAACAAACTAAGCTCCAAAGCGGTGACACGAACCTGGACATCTGCAGCAACAAGCCAATGTGGATAGGCCTTTATTCCAGGTCCCCTGTTGTTGCGCTGGAGTAGAGGGCCTCGATCAAGCTCTATGCCATGAGCCACATCGGGGTTTCCGAAAATTAGAGGTACCTTATTTTGGGTCGTTATTAAATTTTGGCACCTATTATTAAGGGTACCCCAAAAGGGACCCTAATTTTGACAACTACCCACATGAAGCGATGTGAAGTGTGTCGACCTGTATTCTGTTGTTTGAACTGTCTGGGAAATCTGTGACAGATAATCCTGGCTAATTGGTGAACCTTAAGAACCCTAAACCCTAAACCTTAAACCCTACACCGCTCGTTTTCGGAACTGTCTACATGAACATCGTGAAGACTTGAATTGGGTGCATGTTGGATTTGCCCCTTTAGACAACCTCGCCTGTGAGCATAGTTCTCAGCCATGCGAGAGGGAAAAAAACCTTAAACCTTAAGCCCTAAAAGAGAAGGCTTGCCCTGCATGTCCGAACTGGAAGACATCACCCTGCAATGCGGGCTCGTCCTTGCTAAGTAGGAGGCAAAAAATGGGGGTTTCAGAAAATAGGGGACCCTAATATAGTACCGTAAGTAGTAGGATCCTTGTTATAAGGACCCCAAAATAGGGTACCCTAATTTTCGGAAACTGCCAAATAAGCCCATCCCTAAACCCTAAACCCTAAACCCTGTTTGATAAACTTCAGCGACTTGCTTTTCAGGTTCTTGTGGGTAATTAGAGGTTTGGTGTGTGAAAGGTATGTGCCCTACACCGCTCGTTTTCGGAACTGTCTACATGAACATCGTGAAGACTTGAATTGGGTGCATGTTGGATTTGCCCCTTTAGACAACCTCGCCTGTGAGCATAGTTCTCAGCCATGCGAGAGGGAAAAAACCCTAAACTCTAAACCCTAAACCCTCAAAGATGCCTGGATGAAGGCGATCGACTTGACGTCCAACCTCGGGGTGGATCGGCCGGGGACCTGGTGTGGAGGGTGCCTTCAAATTGGGGGTCTGTTTTGGGGGTTTAGGGTTTAGTAATTAGGGGTTTAGGGTTTAGGGTTTGTTCCATTAGTTTGGGAGCCTATTGCTTGAAGGTATAGGTTCTAGAGAGGGGTGCCTTAAGATTAGGGCTCATGTTTTTCTTCGGAAGCAGGCTCCGTATCTTAGGATCGAGTGCGTTGGGGCTTTTTAGCGCCTCGTGTGCGTCCTGTGCGTTCTCTTGCAGTTGGGGGTGGGGGGGGGACCCTAAACCCTAAACCCTAGACTTGTGCCAAGGCCTGACCCTAAGCCAGGAACTCTCGCACCCGTGGCCGGCGTGCTCGAAAGCAGCGTTTCTCACACCTTCTTCTTCCTCCTTCAAGCTGCCGGGACCCGCTTTTAAATGGGGAATCACACACAGAGTCACAGAGACGCCAGGAAAAATTACATCTTACACTTATGCGCAGAGCCTGCAACATCGATAAATCAGCTAAAAGTGAGTTTTTTTACCATCTTGGCGCTCGTTGTATTGTCTGGACGTCGGCGCGCCTATGGGGTTCTATGGGGCCTTTGGGGTTGAAGCCAGGCATTTTAGGGTTTAGGGTTTAGGGTTTAGGGTTTAGGGTTTAGGGTTTGGGGTTTAGGGTTTAGGGTTTAGGGGTTTAGGGCTGTGGCGGTTTCTGAGACTTTGCGGCGGGGGGCCGGGTTTGCATTCTCTTGGCAGAGGTCGACTTTCTCCCAGCTCTTCGTGGATCTCGATCTTTACCACAAGGACCGTCATGAACCCAACACCGACGCGATGGAGCAACAGCCAACAGCTTAGTAGATTGCAATACCCCAAAGCACGACGCCTTTCAATCCCCCACAAGGCAAATCCGGAAATCTGAAGCTCTACAACAGGGGGTTAAGCAATTTCCTGTACTTTTTTTGGTGGTTCCTTTTTGTAGTTATAGTACAAGATTCCACAACACCCTATTCTAACTACTAAGGTCTTTCTATATTAAGCCCTTAAACCTTAAATCTTAAACCCTAAACCCTAAACCCTAAGCCCCAAAAACCCGAAACCCTAAACCCCAAACCCTGAACCCTGAACCCTGAACCCTGAACCCTGAACCCTAAACCCCAAACCCTGAACCCTAAACCCAAGCCTCCATCCCCAACTCCCAGGGCTCCCCGGTCCCCGAAACCTCGAAGCCCCAGTTGTCAGGGATCTTTTTCTGGTATCGATACTGTAGGGGGGGTTTAGGGTTTAGGGTTTAGGGTTTTAGGGTTTAGGGTTACCAATCATCCCATTTTTTGGGCGGTTCCTTATGAGAGTTATAGTAGGAGATATCCCCGAAACCCTACTGGAATTGTTAAGGCCCCTACATTATATAGTTGGATTCTGCCAGTACACAAGGCCTTCCAGATCATGGTTTCTAGCATAGAGGCTTCAAGAAGCAACAGTGTTGTTCTGTTTGGGGTCCCTAGAATGTATTACTATACGATATGGACCCCAATACCGTGGCGTCTCACAACTGAGCATAGGCAAGAAGAAAGGAAGCCCTTGTTTGTTTGGGGGGGGACCTAGTCACATCAGCATCAGCGCGCTGCACCCTCGGCCCGCTTTTGGGTAGGGTTTCAGGAGTTGAAGAGTTTATGCCTTCTGGTAATGGCTAAGCAGTTTAGGGTTTAGGGAACTTGGAGGTGGGTATGTTTTGGTTCAGTTGTGGGTGCAGCCTCGCAGTCAAACCAAGCCGAAGCTTCCGCAGAAGACCCGCGACGAAAGCCAGGATAAGCTGCCCTACGTTTGGGCGCACCAGGTCCGGCAGACGGTCGAATATAGGAGTCTGAATAGCTTGTACCAACATGGGTAGTTTTGAAAAGTAAGGGTCCCTTTTAAGGTCCTTTGTATAAGGGTGCTGTACTATATTGCGGGTTTCGTGCGCTATTCTGGGCACGAGGTGCAGTGACATTGCTCGCGGCTGAGGGTTGCATTTCCGGGTATTTTTAGAAAATCAACCCCTGAACTAACTTGAATGAACCAAACCACGAAGCCTAAAACGTCGTGGTCGGGAGCTCTTGTACCAGCATCACGCCGACTCAAACCTGTGGAACCTCGCCTGGCTTGTCCGAGTTGTGAGAGCGTAAAGCCCGAAAGCTTGGGCACTAAGCCTAACTATGGAAACTTCAACCTTGAAGCCCAAAAGCTCTGCTGGAAAACCGGGTGCTCCCCCCCCCAAAAAAAAAACTAAAAATGAATCCTAAACCCTGCAAGCCCTAAACCCCCCTCCCCCCCCCCACCCTCCCTCACAAAAAAACACAACAAAAAGCAGCAACTTGAGCTTTCCCTGCTGATGGGTGGAGACTCTCGAGTTCTGTCAGTTGCTTCATGCCTGGGTTCGGGGTTTTAGGGTCTTAGGGTTTCAGGGTTTTAGGGGTTTGGGGGTTTAGGGTTTCAGGGTTTAGGGGTTTAGGGGTTTAGGGGTTTAGGGGTTTAGGGGTTTAGGGTTTTAGGGTTTGGGGTTTTAGGGTTTAGGGGACTGTGGCACATCCTTAGCCTCGATTCAGCTTGCATGCGGTAGCAGGCTGGATGCAAAGAAAGGGTTTAGGCCCCACATCACGTCCTTCAAGTCCTAACCTCTTTTGGTCGCACATCGAAGCACGCCGAATCCTAGGCACGACGTGGGATTTGTAGGTCGTGGACGTCAGGACTTTCAGATTTGGGTGTGTCAGGCCACAAAGCCATCAGAGAATTCTGCTGCATGCCTTCTATAATGATGTGCCACCACTCCCTTTCTCAGCGTGACCACCCATCCTGCAAGATGGGAGTTCCAAAACAGCCCTAACTAACATAGCCGCTACGATGCAGTTTCTGCAAAGGCTCAAGCCCCGAGAGCGCCCCAAATGCCCCTCGATGATGGACCCTTCCTGAGATTTGGGGAACTACCCTTATCTTCTGCTAAAGCGTATTCAAGCCTTGATGAGGAGAGAGTTAGGGGGGCTTGGATTGTCGGTTTAGGGTTTAGGGTTTAGGGTTCGGGGAAGGCTTTGGCCAGAGGTCAAATTTCGGTTTTAGGATTTCCGGCTTGGGGGGGTTTGGCCCAATGAATGAAATAGTATACATGTACCCCGAAACCCCATTCTAATTGTTAAGTCCCCTACATTGTGCAGGTTTTCGACGCGTACGCCAAACCGATGCGGCTGACATCTGGCGATCCAGACTTTGGCGAAGACTCGCAAGACCGCTTCGGGCTTCCAGTGCACTCCTAGGCCCCATTGTAGTTCCATTTTTGGGATTACCTAATAGGATTCTAAATATAAGCCACAAAAAGGAACTACTATGGGGCCTATGTGTAGAGTGTAGGCTCCAGGGTGAGGGGTTGTTGGGGAAATTTTAACGAAACTTGAAGCACCGGGGCCCTACTGTAGGAGCCTGATTGAGACATCAATGGGGTTCTTACCGGACCTGTAGAAGTTACGACTGCGAAAGGGGTTCCTATGTCTGGATCCTAAACCCTAAACCCTAAACCCTAAACCGTTGGGGTGCTTCGAACCAGAGTCGGGAGGCTTCGGGTTTCATGAAATGGGGGTGTCCGAAAATAGGCGGCCCTAATATAGGACCGTAAATAGTAGGATCCTTAGTATAAGGACCCCCGATTAAGGTACCCCCCAATATTTGTGGAAACTCCCAAATGGTGAGTTCTGTAGTGTAGGGGCCAAAATAATTACTTGTATTATCTTGGGGGTTCCTTATAACAAGCATCATGGGCACCAGAACCCTATTCTAACTACTAAGGCCCCTACATTAGTTCGGTACTGAAGGAACCAAGCTCACATCCTGTTTGCAGCTTCCGGGTTGCTCGGAGAGCCAGTTGCAAAAAGCACTTCTGGTGTCAGGGTTTCAGGGTTTAGGGTTCAGGGTTTATGGTTCAGGCTTTAGGGTTTCAGTTTAGGATTTAGGGTTCAACTGGGTCTGAAGGGTGCTGGCTGTGAGCTGCAGCTTCTTCAGCCTCTTCTAGCCTGGGGGCATCGGGACTTGCACCAGAATCCAGGAGGGGCGCATGCGATCATCCCTCTGCGTCTGCAAGTGGGACTTCATGGCCGTTCTTGACAGGCGATTGGCTGGGGATTCTGGGGGCAAGGGAGTTGAACTTTGAGCCGCGCGCGGACCTCCCCAAGCGCCCCAAACCACCCAAGTCTGAAGTGTGGAGGCTTTGATTACCAAGCATGGATGCCAGCAGAAAGTTTTGCGGATTTTACGGATAGGATGTATGGTAGCTTCCCCGATCTTTTTCTACGTCCGTCTTGGGACACCAAAACGACAGGCTCCCCCCAGATGAACGCATATCTGCCGCATAAAGGCGTAAGGCCAGTGTCGAGGAAGGGCTATACCCATAGGCCCATTTAGGATCCTACTGTTGATGGACAAAATCCTGCATGACCATATATACCTAAACTATGGGATTTATGGTACTATACTATATTTGGGTCATGCAGGATTTTGTCCATCAACCGTATTAGGTATTCCAAAAAAGGAACTACTATGTGGGGTCTATGGGTAATCATCGGGATCTTGAGTATGGGCCCCTGCCGAAAGGCGGGTCATTCCTTCGGGGTCTGTCGTACAGAGGCCAAGCATCGTTTAGGGTTTAGGGTTTAGGGTTTAGGGTTTAGGGTTTAGGGATCCCTGGCATAAAGGCGCCTGAAGCCGGGAGCACTCGACTTCAGGAAGCATCCATTTCCACCGCAGCAGTAATGTAGGAACCTGATCAAGAAACCCTGGCCCCCAAAACACCGATGTATTAGGGTTCTTACAAAGAATCCTAATAAAGGCCCAGGGTTTCTTAATCAGGTTCCTACATTACTATATCATCCCTCTCCCTAAACCCTGAGCCCCTAAACCCCTAAACCCCTAAACCCTAAGCCCCTCAGCCCTAAACCCTATATTTGTGCTCCGGCAGGCTTCTGAGAGCCCGCTTCGAGACGCCCAGGCCGGCAGTTGTTGCCAGGAGGTTTGGGGCAACAGTGATCTACCTTAACCTACAAAACCTTATTGTTTTGGTAGGCTCTTATTATAAACCCTCATATGGGATTTATGGGGAACCTACAAAAAATTAGGTTCTGGTGGGTTAAGGTAGTATTGCCAGCCACACAAGCCCCCATACTAGCTTAAGGCCCTCTTCCTCAAGTTTTTGTAGGTCCAAGAAGCGAAAGTCACAAGATGCCAATTCTTTCCGATTTGTGAAGAAGGATCTCGAACGCGCTTGTGTCGTGTGCCCAGCAATCGTTACCACTTATCCCTAAACCCCAGATTCAACACTCAGCAAGCATAGGCCCAGCAGGCCTCCCTGAAGCCCCCCGTGAATATGGGGTTTAGGGTTTAGGGTTTAGGGTTTAGGGTTTAGGGTTTAGGGTTTAGGGTTTAGGGTTTAGGCTTGGTGTCGTAAGAACTCCGTGACATCCCAGAAAGCCAGGGACACATTCATGGCCCGACTGCGAGCGGCCACCGGCTACCTGGAGAAGGACTTTCGTGGCCGGAGAGGGGCAGAGGTCTCTCTTGTCTCGGTTCATGGTTTTAGGCTTCGGGCTCGGGGTGTGGTGAACTAGGACTCGGAGTGTTGAAGATGGATATGTCCCAGTGGAAAGCCGCTTCCCGACCCCTCAGCGAGTTGGGAAATGATGTTCAACAGAGAACATTCCGGTTGTGCGCGAGTCTTCGTGTTGAGTTCTTTTCCATCCAATAGAACCTGATGCGTTCTATAGCACGTCCGAGTCCCAATGCGGTAGTGTGGTCTCCAGATTCATGTAGGACACCGCACCCAAAGCAGCACCTGTTTTTGGAACCTGGTCCAGGGAGTTTCTGTGGGGCCTCTCAAAATGGGAGTTTCCGAAAATTAGGGGTGCCTTATTTTGGGGTCCTTATAATAAGGATCCTATTATTTAGGGTACTATATTAGGGTCCCCTATTTTCGGAAACCCCCATATACTAGTCTAAGCATCGAGCGGCAACAGACACTGCACAGAGGCAGCTGAGACTGAGCAGCTGAAAGACAGTGCATCTTCAAGAGATCATAAATAGGGTTTAGGGTTTAGGGTTTAGGGTTTAGGGTTTAGGTTTAGGGTTTAGGGTTTAGGTTTAGGGTTTAGGGTTTAGGGTTTGAATCATAAACATTGTGCAGCAAAGAACTTGGCCCTTATGTGTGTTTCTTGGAGTGGGGCGGGCGATGAGGGCGACAACGAGTTGTTGGATGAGCCAGCAAGTGTTTGGGGGTGAGGTGTGGTGTTGGTGGTGGTGGGATACACATCAGGTCTCCCCCATTAATGTAGGGGCCTTAATCATTAGAATAATGTGTTGGGGCCCATTATACTACAAGTCACAATTATAATAAAGGAACCCCCAATACCCTATTCTAATTATCCTGTCTGGTGCCTAGTAGGGAATGGGGAATGGATCCCTATGATAGGCCCTTAAGGTCCATTATGGTAGTCCCTTTGACCCATTCCCCCATTCCCTACTAAGCACTAGACCCTAAACCCTAAACCCTAAACCCTAAACCCTAGACAGTACCAGGGCCCCTACATTAAGTCGAGCCACCCTGGTTAGTTTGCAAGGCGCCGCTTCGAACACTCGGGTTCTCCACGCGTATGCAAGACCTGGGTCTTGAAATATAAATGGGCGTTTCCGAAAATAAGGGGNNNAGTAAGGATCCTACCATTTAGGGTGCAATAGTAGGGTTCCCTACTTTCGGAAACCGCCAAATAGCCCCTATCCCGGAAAGAGCAACGTTAAGCAATTCAATGTTCAGGGCCCCTTTGTCCCGTAGTTGAAGGCATCACATAAGCCTCATAAGCCCCCCGACCCTCGCTGGAAACCGAAGATGTTCCGAAATCGCGATGTAGTGTTGTAGGGTCAGTGTAGAGGTCTGGCTCTAGGATTGTCTTCGTGGACTTGACCTTACGGGCCTGCTCCCTAAACCCTAAACC